TACTTCTTCTTTAAACTGCAACACCAAAGCTATTTTTACAGTGTGTCCAGCGACAGGCAAGGATACAGACGGGCTGGCAGGGGAGCTGCCCAGCCTGCCCGGGGGGAGAGGTGGCCTGTTCGCGGTCCCGGGTTGGACGCGGCTGTGCAATGCCAGGACCAGGGATGCCAGCTCGCCCCTGCCGCCGCCTGGGCTGCAGCCCCGGCTTCCTCACAACACGGACACACGGGGAAGGGAAGGCACACAGTGAGGGGCCGGTTCTCTGCCAGTAGGGACGGCCGTCCTCCTCCTGGAGCCCAAAGTGCAGGGCTGGAAGGCAGGGTTTGGTTCTGGGGTCTCACCTGTGTTTCCTGGCCCTGAGCAGTCACCTCCCATTCTCATCACTTTACAAAACCCTCTTTAGGAAAAAGAGGGAAGACGCAGACTAGTGAGGCGGTTTCGGGAGCAACTGCTGATCCATCAGTTATTGACGGTCTCGCTGCCGTTTACGAGCGTGCTCAAGGCAAAACCGAGAACAAAATGACAACATCAACTGCTCGCCACCGAGTGTAGCCCTGGAGAGCACTGGAGCCCTCACTGACAGCTGTCAGCATGATGGGGGCACGGCAGCGATTCTGGAAGATTCTCTCCCCGCGTGGGTGTCCAGGGAACACCCGTGCCTCCTTCCCTCTTTGTTTTCTCCTCCATCTCCTTGATCTCCTCTTTCAAACCTGCACTGGTGCTCTCGCTTTGCAGGAAAGGGGGACCACAGCACAGGCACCCGGGGCCGCCATCCTGACGTCCGGCTGCGGGCTAGAGCACCGGTCCCAAGGAGAGCCGTGCGGCCAGTTTCAGAGGACACGTGCCCCCGGGGCTGGAGCCGCAGTGCCCTCCCGCAGGCACCCTGAGCTCAGGGAAGAGGACAGCCCTTCTCCGGAGCTGCTCAGCACGTGGACCGGGCTCGGGAAGGTCACCCGCATGCGGTGTCTGCCAACACGTGGACCCCTGGGCAGTGCCACCACAGCCATCCTGTCCCCTGGGGACATGCGGTCGTCTCTTTGCCACACCAGCAGGTTCTGAGGGGTGCGAGCGCTTTTACAAAGGTCAAGATGCTGGAAGGCTCACCCTGGGCATGTGGCCACCGAAGAGCCCCGCAGAAGGTTCTTCCCTTCCCACAAACAAGAGTCCGAAGGCCAGCAGCAAATTATGTAGCGAACTGAGGATTTTCTGGAAGTTCAGGCAATGACTTTTCAGGGTTTTACATTTCCCCCAAAAAACGAATATGAATGGATCAAATGTTATCTGCTATGAAGTATTGTTCTAATATTTTTTCCTGGCACTTAAAAAAAGGCCTGTTTGAAGACAAACACTGTATGTATGTAGGAAAGAGTCATATTTGAGCAAGGGACAAGAGCCACTCTGCCTGAAGGACACTGGCCTCCCTGCCCTGCTCCTCGGACCTTCTGCCGACAGCCGCCTCTCTCAGTCCACCCGGAAGCGGGGCCCCGGGGAACCCCAGGCCCGGAGGGAGAAAGGACGCCCCCGCCGCGGGTCTGTGCAGCAGGTGAAGAGACCTCTCTCCCTTTGAGATAGGACACCGCGCTGTGCGTGATTTCTCTCGGGAAAAGCAAGCACAAAGTGCAGACACCTGTCCTCCGGCAGAGGGGCCGCCCTGTCCACGCTCTGCCCGCTCTCGGGTCTTTGTGGTTGTTATTCCACCCCAGCCCATCACAAGGGCCCTAATTCCTATGACATGATTATCCAGGTACCAAAGCCCATTTGTCACCTGCAGCAGAAAATTGAGTTAATGCACAACTAAAGGCAGCCAGGACTGTGTAATATCAACTTGATTACATCAAACTGGCTGCAAACCTAATTCTGCTGGATGACACTGCGTCGAGCTTGTCATCTCCAATCATTACAGCTGTCAGGAATCCATCAGGTTTACAGCTAATTAGGTGAACACTAATGAAGCTGGCAAAACAACTTTTCTTTTTTTATGGCTGAGCGGACCTTTCCGTTTGCAGGGGGAAGAATTCTCGGGGACTCTCGAGGCTGCTGAGGGCTGGCTCTCCAGTCACCAATCAGCAGACCTCTCCCTGCTCCCCACTCTCTCGCTATCAGCACAAAGCACCCAACGTGTCCTCTCTCCCGGGACGCCACAGGCACAGGCAGGAACCTTGCAACTTGCCGCTGTGAGAACCAGGAAAGAGGGGAGACAATGGGAACTTTCTTGTCCATTTAAACACACAAACAAACAAAACCCAAAGAACTCACACAGCTCCCGGCCTGGCCTGTGCATCCTCATCACCAGCCTAAAAGTGGAGGGGCCCCCCTCCTCTCGTCTTCAGTCGGGCCCCTCAGCCCCTCCCTACGTCCATTAGCAGAGGCGTTCTGATAACGCAGGTCCAAAACCAGGGGACGGCAGAGGAAGAAAGCGCGCACGCTGCCAACTTCTGATTGACCATTAAGCTATTGATGAATGTGCCTGTCAGGAGGGAGACAATTAAATCAAATATGAAACAAAGTCATTCTGACGGGTCATTTTGATAGAGCAAAGCCACTCTTCCCTCTCCTATTAGTCCTGCAGTCAAGTTTCTATATACTGAATATTTCCCAACTAACCTGAGATTTCCTGGCTGGCTTTTTAAAAGGTGCAGAAAGGTCAGTGAACAGGTTGCCTTAAAAAAAATGTACACTTCTTTCTTATCTAATATTCTTACCAGGAAGTTATCAAATAAGCACGTCAAATTGGCAAGGTGGGAGAGAGAAGAGGAAGCAACCGTGGAGAGAATTCCAAAGCAAATGCAAGTTGGGATCACATATGGCCCATCTGAGTGAGGCACCTGGAAATGTGCATCCAAGGAGAAAAGAAAAAATCCGAGACTGGAGGAAGGCCCGGGTACCCCCACTGCCCTGCTCTGTAAAGAAATCCTCCAAACTTTCAGAGTTTATTTGGGGTAGATAAGCTCTTTCTTGAGCTTGAAATTCAAAGTCGAGGTGACATGGCCAAGAAACACCAGCCAGGAGGTGACCAGAGAGGCAGGACCCTCCCAGCTTCCTAAGGGTAGGCAACAGTGAACACAGAAAGCAGGGCCTGCAGCACTCGTCCCAAACCAAATCTGTTTCATTCGAGCATTTTCTTAAGATGCTAACAGGAAAATACACTTCCGGGAGAAGAAAGAGGAGCACCCCTCCCTGCTCCCCTCAGTGAGGAGGTCACAGTACGGCCGGCGTGGGCCCCACCGCCGCACGTGGACACGACCGTGGACATGACCGTGAACACCGCCCACCCCCTTACCACATGCTTGAGGCCTTCATCAAAGAAGGGCACCAGGCAGTGTCCTGACCCTTCTGCCCGCCCGCCCTTCTTCCACCAAAGAAAAAGAACAGGAAAGAAGAGAAAGCGAAAGAAATGGATCTCCACAGGGCCCTCGCTCAGGCAGCCTCAGAACCTCAGCACGTCTGAGTGTCACTCGTATCAAAACACACCCGTCCACACTCGGTCCCCTCAGCAGTTGGCCCCGAGTCCCCGAGGTTGCACTGACAGAGCCCTGGTGACGTCACAGAGCTTGCCCTCACCATTGCCCGTGATTTATTGATGTTTATTGGGAATGAATAGATCAAAGGCAGCAGCATGACAGGTGATCAATCAGTCATCAAATCAAGGGTGGCAAGGGGCCAGCACCCCTTCTTCCAGTCAACATGCCCCCAACTGACATTACTGCAAAATAATGTTATGTGTGTGGGTTTGGTTTAGTTTTCAATGATGCTTTTTCCAGAAAAGAAAAAAAAGAAGCTTAGTCTTAACAGGAGTTGACACTCCTGGCCATAAAAAAAAAAAAAAAAGTACTCAGACGCGCCCCAGAACTAAGTGCCAGGCGCGAGGAGGGTGGGGGCGAGGGGCGACCGGCAGGGAAACGGGAGCCCAGCGTCCAGCGCCGACTTGACAGTCATCTGACAATACCCAGACCCTGTGCGCTCTGGTTTCCTCCGCGGTGCCCGGTTTAGGCCCAATACACGCAGGCTCGACCACGTTAGCAGCGAGGCGGCCACTCTCCCCCCAGCTCACTGTCTGGCCAGGCAGACACCCAGCAGCCCCCCGCAGTCCGGCCGAGGCTGGGTACGGAAGGTGTCCCAGGGAACTCGGGTGACCCCGCCTGCCCCCCACAGTAAGACACAGAAGACGACTCCTTCCCATCCCCTCCGCGGCCGCAGAGCTGAGGAGTCAGGCGCCGGCCCGGGTCCCGCGGCGCGCGAAGTGGGTGCGAGCCGGACGCGGGTGGATCGCGGCGGGTGTACGGGGCGCCGGGTCCGAGAGGCGGGCGCACGCACCCGGAGGGGGAGCCGCGACGAGCCTGTGCGGGGAGTTACTCTGCGCGGGCAGAGGAGCCGGGAGCCGGCGCGAGCGGGGTCGCTGCGGGCCGGAGACCCGGGCGAGCAGAGGAAGAGGAGGAGGAGAGGAGGAAGGGAAGCGGCTCGTACCTGCTGCGCGCCGGGGCGCCTGCTGCTTCCTCCTCGGCATGATGCTCCTCCGGCGACTGCCGCCGCCGCCGCGCCGCCGCTGCCGGGCTGAGAAGCGGGAGGGAGGGGCGGCGGGCCGCGGGGGGGCGAGGCGGGCGGCGCTCAGCCTCCCCCCCGGAGAGCGGCCGCCCGCAGGATGCTGCTGCGCCCCGGCTCTCCGAGTCCCCCCCTCTCCGCGCTCCGCCGCGATCCCGAACGTGCGGAGGGAAGGAGGAGGGTGGCGCGGGAGGCGCGGGAGGGAGGAGCGCGCTGGGGGTGGGGGGGCCGCTCCGCTGGCGGAATGGGAAGTTTGACAAATCGCTCCAGAGGCCGGAGGAGGAGGGGGCGGGGAGGAGCGGCGGCCCTGCCCCCCCCAGCCCGGTCCCCAGACGAGGTGCGCGGGGTTCGGGACCGGGGGGCGGGGAGTGGGGGAGGCGGGCCCCCGGGTGGGAGGAGGCGCGCGGGACCCGCCCCGCCGGGTGGTGCCCGGCCCCCGCCCCCGGGCAGGGGGTCAAGGCATGGGGGTCGCGCCGCCGCCGCCACGGCCTGGGGCTCGGCGGTCCGGTCTTCTGCCCGCGGCGCGGCTGGAGCGGCGGCGTCGGCAACAGGCAAGCTTAAAGGAAAAGGAGATGATCGTGTCACCAGCCGCCCGCGGGGACGCCGCGCCCCCGCGCCCGGCCCGGGGCCTCTCCGGGACCCCCTCCCAGTCCGGGAAGGGGGTGCCGCCCCTCTGCCTCCGCCCCATGCGCGCAAGCAGGGGCGCGGCGTCCGACCGGCCGACTCCGTCCCCGGGCGCTAGCTCCCTGCCCGCCCCCTCCCGACCCGGTCTAGCCCCCCGGCCGCCCCCGCAGCTCGGCCCCGGCCGCAGGGCTCTGCGACCGCCGCGCCCAAAGCCCCCGGCTCCGTCTCGGTCCGGGCCCGCGCCCCTGGGCATGCCCAGGCCGAAGGCGGGGGCGGGCGCCCCGGAGGGAGGAGGCGGCCGCCGGCTGGAGCGAGTGGGGGCGGCTCTCGGGCCCCGCGCCACCCGGCTCCTCCCCCGGGGCCCGCCGCCGCCACTTCCCCCCATTTTTTTTCCCGGGCAAACTTTCCCGGGCCCGTCCCGGGGGTCGCAGTGGGAGGGGTGCCTGCAAGTTTGCTCTGCAGACCGGGAAGATCGCGGTCCCTACCGCGCCCCCCACCCCGGGCGCTCACGGGTCGGAGGACGGGACCGGGGCGGGGAAAGGGACCGGGGCTCCCCCGCCCCGGGGTGCCCCGGAGTGGGGGGCCGCTGCACCCAGCGCCCGGCCTGCCGGCGGTGCTGAACGAAAGGAATTGATTATTGATTGGGCGATCGGGGACGCCCGGGCGCCGAGCGGGCCGGGTCGGCGGGCCCTGCGCGGAGGTGCGGGCAGAGCCGCGGCGGCGGCCGGCGGCCGCGAGGGTGCGGAGGAGCCGGGCTCCGGGGACGACGCCCGGGCGGCGGCGGCCGAGCCGGAGCCGGAGCGGCGCATCGATGCGCTGCGGGCTCGATTGCGTCTCCCTGGGCCGCGCGGGCCGGGCGTGGGGCGGCCGCGCGGGGCCGGCTCCGGGCGCTGCCGGTCGGCGGTGGGGGCGCGGGCGCGGCCGCCGGGCTCCGGTCCGGAGACGCCGCTGCCCCGGGGCGCGTGCGCTGGGCCGCGGGCTCCTCGGGGCCGCGTGCAGGAGGCGGGCAGGGCCGGAGCCCGCGCCCTGGGACCGGCCGCCCGAGCGCCCCGGGGCCGCGAGCCTGGCCGCGTCCTCCCTCCGTCCCTTTCCCTCCCCTTCCCTTATTTCTTACGCTTCTTTTTTCAGTCCGCCCCCCTTTCTTGTCCCCTCTCCTCCCTATTTTTGCTTTCTGACTGTGCCCGCAAGTTTGTTTCCAAAGTTCCTGGCGTGCTGTCCGTCCTTGGAGACCGAAGCCCGTGGGCTCACCTGGCGGTAAGATCCACCCCGTCGCCCCGGCCCGCGGGCTCGGGCTCCCTCCAGACCGGCCGGCACGCGGCGGGGCGGCCGCTGTCCTCGGGCTCCGGAGCCGCCTGCGCGCCGTGGCGGCTGGAGCGCTGGGCGCGGCGGGGCGGGCGCCCAGGCCGGGGGCGGGTGGTCGGAGGGCGGCGGCCCGGAGCTGGCCGCGCGGGGCGGGCTCGGGGCGGGCGCAGGGAGCGGGGGGCGCCTACGGAGGCGGGAGGCACGGACCCTCCAGGCCCGGGGGACGCGGCTTGGGGCGTGAAACGCTTCTTGCGAACGAGGAAACGGTGAGTTGGCGACCGCCGCCCGCGGCCTCCCGGGTCTGGTCTCGCCGCCAGGGCCTCTGCCTGGCCGAGCGCTGGCGCCGCGCAGGGTCCGCTCCCCGCCCCGCTCACCTTCCCGGCGCGCCGGTGGTTGCGGGTGCGATGGTCTGGGCGCCACGCACGGAAGGCAGAGAGTCCGCCCGAATTCGCGTTTCCACCTCGTCGTCTTCCCCGGGCCAAACCCTGGTTCCTTCCGCCCCCTCCCCCTGCCGGCCGCGGCCGAGCTCAGGTCTCCACGCCGCCCGCTGCCCTCGCGGATCCCGGCCTCGCCCAACCAGCTCCGGCGCTAGCGACCCGCCCTAACATCTGTCTGTCGGGCCCGCGGTGCATCCGCCGGCGTCTGTGAGCTGCACGTCGCGGCGACAGCCCGGCCCGCACCGCGGGCTCTGCGGAGGGCACACGGAGGCCCTGCCGCTTGGTCCTCCTGCTCAGAGCGGACCGAACCCCCCTCTCTAGGGCTCCCCTTTACCACAGCACCCCCTTTCATATCGGGACCTCAACGCCTGATGAGTTTTGCACGCCGTTCTAGGGATGGAGCAGGAGAGGGGACCGTGCCCTTGCAGCCCGCCCAGGGCTCCGTCCCTTTCAGCAAGCGGGGTGTGGCTCAGGGGAACGGGACTGATGGAGGCGCCCCAAACCCAAGGGCACAGCAGAGCCCCCCGGAGGTCGCCTGAATGCAGGGACTTCAACTCATAAGGTTGGGCCGAGCCTGGGGCTGTGGAAGTCGCCAGGCAGGTCTCAGTCAGAAAGTGTCAAGCTAAAACTTTGCCAGGCTCTGCCTGGCTGCTGAGTAACAAGGCCTGAAGTGGGGCGGGGCGGGGGGCGGGCAGCGGGGCTCCCGGTGAAAACCACGGGCTCCGATTCGGTCGGCGGTGCGTCTGCGGTTCACGCTATTCAGAGAAAAGGCGCAGGCCCCGAGTGTGAGTCCCCAGCGCCCTTCTCGGCGGCGCTCACCTGGGCGGCGCCCCTGACTTCGCTCCCGGCTTCACCTGCCCCCTGCCTCCCTGGCACCATCCCCGGTACAGACGTCTCCACCTTTGTCACACCAGGTGTAATCAGTCACACCAGGCCAAAGGGCCTTTCTTGTCCTCTCCCTAAGGACTTCAGAGGGCAGGCGCGGGCAGAGAACCTCGGACATCAGCTGGGTGGCTGTACCTGTCATCCCACCTGCCTCTATTCCTACTGCAGACGCTTCCGGGGCTTGGTGAGTTCTGCCCCTCCGAACGACTACACCAGCAGGTCTCCACCTGTGTGTGTGTTGGTTCCAAGATTCCGGACTTAGAAGCAGTACAGGAAGGGGTCCCCGGTGAGCCCCGAGGTCTTCGAGGTTCCGGAGACCAAAGGCAGCGCCTACTGGGCCCCTTCCCCCCAGAAGCAGAGACCTGGCGGCTCCGGTGCCACCGGGTGCCCCGCACCCCACGGTCTCACTGTTTTCAGGTGAGACAAGAGGACAGGCCAGCCGGCACCTGGGGAGGCACGACAGTTCTGTGGGAGATGCACAGCATGGAAATGCTTTTACCCCACTGCGAAGCATCACAGGCACCTGCAGAGAACATCGCGGCTGCCGAGCCCCGTGCAGAAGCACTTGCTAACTTCTTAGCATGCAAGTCACGCACAAAGGAACCCCCCAAAGTCAGTCGGATGCTCCCACCTCTGGGGGTGCCCTGTTTCTGGGCGGAATTTTTAAACCCCGGAGAAAACAGTTGGAAAGGTGAGCTCAGGGGGCAGTGGAGGGACACAAGTGACCACCGGGTGGCAAATGTCTGTGGCTGCCTTCTGCGGCCAGGTGCCCCACCCCCAATCTAGGCGGCAGTGTTTAGAGCCCAGAAAACTCCCGGAGGCTGTAGAAACAACTCCTGAGCCCCGAGGTCGCGCCCTGGGCCCAGCGGAAGCCCTTGCTCCCCCGCAGCGGGGCGCCGGGTGCCACTCAGCCCCTGTGCTGGGGCTTCAGACCGGGTTCGAGGTCGGACCCCAGCATTGTGAACCGAAGGTGCCAGGTGCGGAGCCCCTTGGCCAGGAGCCCCGGGAGAGTCCCGCCCTTGGCAAACCAAAGCCCCACCCAGAGGAGATCCGAACCGGGGAAAGTCAAAGGCAGGCGTGGCCGGCGGGGTCTGACGGAAACCCACCACCCTGCTGGGTGCCCAGAAGGAGCGGCCCTGCCACTGACTGAAGGCAGCCCAGGTCGGGTTTGAGGCAGGACTGAGTGCTGTGGGTGACAGCCACCTCACCCAAACCAGGCCGCACTGGCCGGCGAGAGGGAAGGACTCCAGGAAAGAAGGCACGTGGCGTGCTCAAGGCTGCGGGTCTCGGAGAGGCAGTCAGGACACCTGCACCCAGGGGCCTAAGCCCACGCCTTGCAGGGGGGTTCTCTATGCCCTGAAGGGGACACAGGTCACCTTGAAGGACAGGTTACACTGGGTAGTTCTCTTGGGGAGCCTGCACCCCATTTCCGGGTGTGAGGGCACTGGCCTGGCTGTGAGCCTTTGGGGGGCCCAGCGTCTGCAGGCGGGACCAAGCGCTGTCCTGCCTGCACCCGCCTGGAATGCTGGCCTTGCTCTGCCCTCTGCACACTCCTCGCCCCACACACGGTCCGGGCTGGGGAGGGGGAGCCCCCCGGCTCAGGGGGGCCGACTGCCGCCACCCGGACCCCACCTCAGCCCAGGCACTCTGGGTCCTCGCCCTGGCGAAGCCCTCGCCAGAAGTGAACTGTTAAAAGTGCGTTTACACAGTAGGGGATTTGTTTCTATTTGTCTGGTAGTTTTGTTTTAACAAACCAGATATTCTGTCTGTAAATTCTCCCAAGAACTGTTACAGCTTCACATAAAATAAACCTTTGAAAATCAGTCGAATATTAGTGTCACTTCTGTAGGCGCCCCAGGAGTGCCCCAGGAGTGCCGAGTCCTGTGCTGGGGACAGAAGACACTCTTTCCAGGAGAGCAGGGGCTGCTCTGGGCCCCGGGTCAAGAACTGTAGGGATGACGGCACACACAGGCACCCTCACTCCTGCCCCCCTGCTTTCCCCTGGGCAGCTTCCTGCTTCATAAACTGCAGTTCCGGGCACAGAGGTTGGCCCAGCTTTGCCCATTTGCTCACTGTGTGTTGGCCATTCCCACTAGAACCATTTGACTCAGAGAAAGTGACCTTCTGGGCCAGCCGCGATGCTCAGGGTGGCTGGGTGGGGTCTGGGGGCGGTGGCCTGGCTGGCCCTGAACTGGAAGCTGACTCGGGGGAAGCCGGGCTGTAGGTCCTCCTCCCCCACATTTCCTTTTTCTGACTCAGACTTTCTAAGCAGTTATAAACATCGGAAGGACTATACACCTGACAGGGAGGGGGGCCACGGGTGTTTGTGGGGACCTCCCCCCCCCAGGCCCCTCTCCTAGACTGGTCTTTCCAGCTGGAACTCCTCCCCCCCCCCAGGTTTCCTGTGCTCTCCTTCCTGCAGTTTCAGGTTTGGGGGCCCCCCGTCTACTCTCTGTTCTTTCTCCAGTAATTCTCTCTCAAGCTCGATCATTTACCAAACTTTCAAAAAAAAATGTTTAAGGAGACCGAAGATTAAATAAGGAAAATAGAAGTCTTTGCGTTTCCATCCAAGGCGCACAGACACACAGTAAGTCTGTTTGGGAGTGCGTAGTTACCGGCAAACATGCTTTTGTCAAATCCCACATGTCAACTTGAGTTGTGGGGTGAGTTCCCAGAATTACTTGCTGTAGCAAGGTGTGTTTTTTCCCAGTCTGAGTGAAATGGGTTTTTGTAAACCATTTGGGCAGAACTATAAAAAAATCCCAAACCAAAAGCTAAACTGAGACAGGGGCGGAGGGCGGGGCTCTGCTTGGCGGCTGCGAGCAGCACTGAGAGGCGGCGAGGGTGGCCATCCGTCCGGGCTGGGACGAGGGTGGTGGCACCGGCCTGCGTGTGAGGGATGCGCGGGCAGCCGGATGCAGGGACCCGGAGAAGCGTGAGGTCCTTGCAGAGCGGAGAGCCCAGCTCTGCTCCCAGGTGACTGGGCAGCGAGCCAGGGAATTTGAGAGACAAGGGAGAAGCAGGGAGAATCTCTTGTCCTTCCTCTTCCCCTACATCGCTCCTCTTCTCTCACACATTACGGTTTTGTGTTTGTCCCAAAAGTCCAAACGAGAAAGACCGCGCACCGTTCCCAGTTGGGCAGGTACTAGAGAGAAGGACTCGGCGAGCACCTCATCCCTTCTCATCTATTCCTTAAAACAGGGTGCCTGTCCCTTGTATTTCCAGGCGAGGCGAGGCCGAGAGCTCCGGATGTGGCGGTCAGAGGGTTGGGTTCTTTGTGCGCCGCCTCTGATCTCCCGGCTCCCAGGTTCCCTCCTCCACAGAACAGCGCCGAAGTCTTCCTTCCCTCTTCCTCTCGTCTTTCCACCACGTCTTCCTTCCTTCCTCGTTCTCTCTTTCTGGGTCCTTGTGTTTTCTATCAGCCCCTCTACAATTCCCCCACGAATTCACAAAGGCCTTTCCTTTCATGGGGAACCACGCGCTCACCCCAAAGAGGTCGCGTCCTCCGTGGACCGGGCAGGACGCCACACCTGCCCCAGTCGGGAGGGAACCAGTAGTTTCAGTTGCTCTCGCTTTTGGGGGGCGGGTGGGGGTGGGGTCAAAAACAGGTCGACACTTGGTGTGAAATAAAAGAACCTGTTAAGAAGTTTCGAAGCTGCCAATAAAGCCCTTTAAGTGGCTCGTGATGCAGTGCCTGGAGTTGCAGCGATGGCATTGGTAAATGACTCTAATGTCCAAAGAAAAATATTACAAATGCCGGTGTCTCGGCCACCAATCGGGCGCCGCTCTCCGCGCGGGCGCCGGCTCCTCTCTGGCGCGAGGGCACCCGCATTTGCATGATAAATTGACCAGACCGGTGGCGGCCAATGAAATATTCAAATGAGTTCGCCGGGTAGGGGTGGAGTCCCTGGGGCTCGGCTCCGGGCCGGGAGGGAGCCGGCGGCAGCACCTCCCTTCCGCGCCCTCTAGAGGCGGGACAGCAGGGCGGCGGCCCGGGGGACAGGGTGGGCAGGCGGGGCTGGGAGGCGGCGGTGGGCCGGGGCGCTCGGTCTGCGTGCGTCCTGCAGCGGGAAGTGTTGACGGATGGCCGAGGCAGGTGGTGACACCGAGGAAGGGTTTAAGGAGGGCGCTGCCTCTCCGCCAACCCCCGGCCCTGGGCCCCACAGCTCAGGGAAAGCGGAGTGCTCCTTCGCCTCAACCCAAGACCCTGACCACCCTCCCCAAAGCCCGGCGGGCGACGCTGAAACCCTGGAGTGGGCCGATCCAGCCCACCCCGCACAGAGGACTGTGCGCCCTGGAGGGTCACAGACCAGGGGGCTGGGAGCTAGGACTGGGCTAGGGCGCCCCAGGGCCTGCGCCCTGCCTGAGCTGCCGCCTTTGGCGAGGCTGTGAGAGCCGGGCCCCTGGAACAGCCGCGCAGGAGCGCCTCCCCTGGGAGAACGGGAAGGGAGGGGGCGCCCCGCCCTCAAGGCCGGAGTGGGCCCGGGAGGGCAAGGAGGGGTGTGCCTGCCGCAGGGGTCAGGCCGTAGACGCCCAGCCCAGAGAGGTGAGGAAATAGGCTCTGGGAACGGGCTGACCTCCGGCCTCCCCCAGAAAGGGGGGTCCACAGGCACCAGGTGAGCTGGCCTCCTGGCTTGGCTCCTGCTGTAGCGCAGGACTTGGCGAGGACTTTTGCACAGGATACTGGGTCCGACCCATGGACACCTCTTGTCTACTAATCACCCCCACCATCCGGCGCCAGTCACCCTGGGGCCCTCCCTGGCCCCGAAGGCTTGTTCGCAAGGACTCTGAGTGGTTAGAAGTGCAGCTGTCTCTCTCCTCTGTGGAGTGCTGGGCACCTCCCTCCCCCCTTTCACAGGACTCAGAGTCAGGTCTCAGCTAACACTGCCCAGGAGGGCTTGGGCCCCGCCACCCTCCACCCCTGCCCAGGGTCTGTGGGGTGGTCCTGCTGCCGGCTACTCTGAGCGGCAGCCCGGGGGCCTCTGGGCACCGCTGTCCTCTGCAGCCCCCCACTCCCCTGGCTCAGCCACCTGGTGGGGGGTGACTCTCGGAGCAATGCCCGGGCTCCTAAGGAACCGTTCGGAAATACAGGAAAAAAGTGGTGGGTAGTGAATACGAATTTGACTGAGAGTGAATTTTGACTTTTGATCACCTTACAGATATTATCAATGCCTTCAAAATACGTTGCCCAAACAGGGGAATCAATTCCGAAGGAGCGTGTTGCGTCACAAGGTTTTCCAGGATGGTTTGCTGGCTGAAGAGAAGGGGCCCTGGCTGGGCACGCACTTGGGAGTCGGCTAGTGACAAGTGTCGGTCCCCTGGCCTGTGTGCGAGCCTGGGGACCGGGCTCCCATCCGGAGGAGGCCTGCAGCTGGCGGCCCTGGGGGCGGGGAGGGGGCCCTGCCGGCCGGGAGGCAGCCCACACACCCTCCTTCCTCCTCTTCAGGCCTCACCTGTCGGCCAGGAAAAATGAGACTTGAAAATGGGCCAGAGTCATCCTCTGCCGATGAAATTTGTCAAGGAGTCACTGCCATCTCAAGTGTCCAGAAGTGCAAGCTGCTCTCTCGAGGACGGTCCTATCTGGGGCACGTCAGACGGGAAGACAGGGAAGGTGAGAATGTGGAGGGAGGACTGCCCAGCCTCCGCCCGCCCTGCCCCGAGACCAGGCACTAAGAGCAGGGGCTGCTGCCGGTCCATCTGCCTCAGAAGACCAGTGCCCGTCAGCTGCCCAGAAGGGTGGAGCACGCAGGGGTCTGCTGCGGACATGCACGCGGGCACCCTGCAGGGGGCGCAAGTTCTGACCACGGGATGCAGGGCTGAGCTGGTGGCCCGTGGCCCCCCAAGCCACCTGGAGCTGACTGCCCTACTGTCCGAGCCTCGTCCCTGCCTCCGAAGGGGACAGCTCACTTCTCTTAAACCCTGAGCAGAAGCCCAGGAAGAAGACACTCTGACAAAGTCAGAGATGCCTCCGGCAGCCTTTGCTTCTTTGTGTTCCACGCTGGGGCGTTTGTTTCAGCCTCAGAGTAGGCTTGGAAGAGCAAGGTGTTAACTAGCTGTGTGCTCTGGGGCACGTCACCGCGGAGCCGCGGTGCAGGGACCAGCGGGGCTCACCGGAGATGGTGGGTGTCGGTGCTTTGGTGAAGAGCTTGACCCACAGCACACAGTTGTCCGACCCGTCGTGACCTTTCCTCCAGCCACAGGGTCAGACCTCCCTGAAGACAAAGGCGCATAAACGGGGTGAGGTTGGCCTGAGGATGTAGGTGGGGGCTTGGAGCAGGGAAAGGACAGGGGCCTCCTGTCCTGGGGGGAGGGGAGGTGGGGGTGTTCGCAAGGCCCGTAAAGCACATTCTCCAGGCCTTCCCCGGAGCTAATTAGAGGGAGGGGCACAGAGGGCAGGCTCCCCGCTAGTCCTGTCTCTCCTGTTAGTAGAGACTGGAGTTTGCACCCTCCAGGTCAGATGGAAAGTAAAAGCCTGGAAATAGGACGCCCATCGATTTGCTCTCTTTGCCGTCGTTCCTGGCGGGAGGAAGAAATGTGACTTGGAAATTGCAATTAGGAGCCAGCCTGCTCAGGTGCCTGGCTTGAGCCGGGAGCTGGGCGGACGGCAGGCCTGTCTGGTTCCTGCCGAGGCTGGTCCCCCCCAGGAACTGCCCACACACCCTGCGTCCGAGCTGCCCTCACCTTTGGGTTGGGTCTTTGAAAAGATGGCAGCTTCCTCAATGTTTTAAAAGTATTAACTTCCTTTCAAACGTCCTTTAACCTTTAATGTTTTGTAACTTGATGAAAAGGTCATTTTGTTCTGAGGACGCTGCTCCTTCACAAT